CCGCACCCTGGTTTCAGAAAGAAGAACCTCAACTGCCGCGTTGTCAGAAGAATGTTCTTTCTCACTGAAGTTGCGAATCTCTTCTAGCTGGCTGCCTGCTTTCACTTCCACAGGCTCGGAGGCAATACCTATAGCACCCTGCATCTTGATCCAAGTCATGTGTTTTAAACATGTGGAAGTTCTGTCTTAAGAAGAATTAGAACAATTGACATGTTTTAATGAAAAAGTAAAATAAAAGAAGGTCTTCTGGATGCCTCCCTTGGTACAGTCAGCATTTCCACTCGTTTTGTAAAGCATTTGATTAGCTAATAGGTCAACAAAATGTCCTGCACACAGTCAGAGGGGAAACACTATCAGAGGAATGTAGTAAGTACCACAACAAGCATATAGAGATGATTTTATGAGAAGATTTGTTTGCTGTCTTGTTCAGTGAAGGTCAAAATTTACAGTGTCTTCAGGGGCTGAGTGAAGCAGCCTGCAGCAAAACTTACAGAGGTATCAAAAAAGGAGAGTTTACATTTTAAAGTGTAGTGATGCAACATGACATTCAACACAGCAGATAATGGGGAGTTAGGCAGCCTGGAATATTTTATCTGCTCTGAACCAGATTTCACTTCTTTGCAGTATTTCACTGAGGTGCTGAGCGCTGGGACGTGAGCACTGCCAGATGCAGCACAGGCACAGCTGCCTGGCAGGGATCTCCTGGCGTTCGGGCTGCCAGGGACACCCGTGGTACTGCAGGAGGCACCAGACTGCATTTGGCTTGCCGGGCTCTCCACTCCCACCGGCAACCTGGTGTTTACGAGCGATGCTGCAAACCTCACCGGCGTGCTGCTTATCAGTAACCCAACAGGAGAGGAAGCGGGGAGAAGCCGCAATGAGCCCCTCAGCAAAATACAGAACTTGTCTTGCGGGCCCAGAGGCTGAATTTGGAAGGAATGGCAATCTCCAAATTTTTGTGGACGCAACCACAACTAACCTTGAACAAGTGTGTGACGTCTCAGCTGGTTTCATGCCATTTACTGAGATGGAAGAGCAGCTGGGAGGATCTCTTTTGTCTTTTAAATTAGAAAAAGTAGAATTTAGAAGTGGAGACTTTTCTCGGAGTGTGTCAATCACACACAGAAGTAACTGAATATCTATTTCTTGATTCTCTTTCTTGTATCTGTTTCTTGCATTCTTTTCTTAAAAAATAAACAGGAGGTCATCATAAGACTGAGATATTGCTTTGCCAGTCAAATATTTATATGAATGTTTTCAGTTTCTGGCCATAAATGAGAAGGTACAGGGGAAAGGAGATTTTGATTAAAACCTTTTGAACGTAATTTGGACTTTTAGACGTCTGTTAAAATGTCTGTACAAAAAGAAATAACACGATAAGAGAAATTGGTGTTGTTTGTTCAATTTAAGTACTTTTTGCACTGAGGGGGTCTTGGGCCACGAGTCTGGTTTTGGCTCTGTCAGCTTTGACTTGGCTGGCATAATTTCTGATTTACATTATCGTAAGTGAGGTCAAGAATCCCTTTCTTTGCTTTCAGGAAACAGGACAGACGTTAGGGGAAATACAGGACTGTATGTGCTAAAATTCCCCAACGTTTTGTTTTGAATGCAAGAAAATGTAACAGGTTTCTGCAGGTGTTTCTGAAGCGTTAGCAGAATATTCTTTGTCACACGCTCAGATGTAATGGTCTCAGTTGGTGTGTAGGGCTCTCCTAGCTGCCACAGGACATTTAATATGTTGGAAAAGGTGTCTCTATTCCCTGTAAAAGCCGAATTTGCTTTTACAGCCATTACCCATAATGCAGTGGGAGAACGCTGTTAATAAACGTTTCATCAGGGCTGCAGAAATCTTTTGCACCTCTCCAGGGAAGAAGCAACTTTTTCTTCTGTAAGTGGCCAAAGTGTTACCTTTGGAAGCTTTCACATTTGGGATCCAAATGCTTTCTTGCACTTGTAACCTGTGCAACCTAATCGTTCTCCAGGGGAGCAAATGTAGATTGGTGGGTTGGGTTTTGGATTGTAATTGTTTCTGGGGTTTTTTGAACATTTGAAGGCTGTGAGTATGCACAGCTCTCAGACAGTCATGTTTTTTTAATGGGAGCAGTGGGAACTATGAAGTCTCAAGGAAAATTTCAGGAAGAATCATAAAAAGATTCTCTAGAACTGTATGTAGAGTTGAGTTGGGTATGCTCCTCCTATAGATTTGGCCTCCATAATTACATGAATTTTACTGGTCCTACAAAACCTTTGGAAATTATCAGCCTGTGAAAAAAAAAAGGGGAGGTTGTTACAGAAAGTGAAGTAATCTAGTAAAGTGCTTGCACTACGCTGTAAGGCTTTCGTCCACGTACAGGATGTCAGTGTATTTATGTCTTTACCTACCCTGATACTGTTAGCTTTCTCTCAATTTGTTCAGAGGAAGCAAAGATGCAAAGGTCGTCAGTGAGTGGTTTTGAAAAAACAGGTGGTGACTGTATCTCCCACAAACTTGAAGAGAGGAATCACAGTTTGTGCCATTTTTAAATACTTCCCACATTGTCTTACAGTTTCTTTTGCTCATCCTTTTTTGTTGTTTATCTGTTAAATGTACTTTGATTTCAGATAAAATTTGATGGAATTATTACTGTATTAATGCACCATGGATGTGATCTTCAACACTAACCTCAAGGCAGCTTACCTCCTATTGGGAAATGAATTCCCAAAGGGAGATGAAGTTGCCTGGCATGAGTAAGAATCAGGTCACTTGGTCTAAATGACTCATTACAGGGTTTATTACTTAGCTTTTGGATCCCAATTTTGCCCTATAAGTGTAGAACAAGTTCTAGATTTAATTAGTAGTCACTTTAGTCAGAGGCCCTATTATAGATTTTGCTTAAGTGCAACTCCATTCACATCAGAAAACACTCCCGATTCACAGGAGCCCAATGAATATGGAGTTCAGGGGTGTTTCTGTACCCTGTAAATCAGAGAGATGTTCAAGATAGCCAGGTCTTCAAGCACTGGACTCACACAGCTACGCACAAGCTTTGGGCTGCCAATGAGCTTGTGTACATACCCCATTGAATATGCAAACTATAAAGTACAGGTGTTAAGTCATACATTTCCTAGCCAAAATCAACTGAAATACTGCTAATCATTAGGCTTTAGATTGCATCTGTATATTCCTTTAAAAGCCTTTTTGTTTGTTTGTTTCTTTCCCTTTTTTTCCCAGTAGCTTCAATGCAGCAGCTCCTACAGCTGGAAAATAGGACTTTTGTACTTTTTTCTTAGTCGTCTCATTGCTTCACTCTTGACTCTACTTTCTCAAACTAAAACTGGAGCTTTGATTTAGTCATGGGCATCTACACTTAGGATTAGTGTAAAATGATTGACTGAGACTTGTTCTACAGCTTTCAGTCAATCTCAGTGGCCAGTCAAGTTCAGAAAATCTGGCTTTGCCTCAGTGTCTTCATCTTTTAGATGGTAATGGGGGCTCATCTACCTCTCAAGAAACTGTGAGACTTCTTAATTATTAGCAATATACTGTCTGTGATTAAAAGTGGGTGATCCCTAGATGTCTTTTGCTGAGGTAATATATGGAGGAAATGAGGAAATATTTCAGTGAGGCCAAAGATATCCAGCATGTTCTGCAGATTGTCTGTCAAGGTTGAATAGTGAGACTGCATTACGCAGCATGCACAGACAGTTCTGTAAACCATGTTCCTATTTAAAAACATTCAAGTGGAACAAACTTACTTTTTCATGTCACAACCAGGATCATATTCACATTTCAGCAGTGAGAAGGAAAAGATAAAAGACTTGATTCAGCTTTCACCATGCTGGAGATTTTCTCTGGCTCCACCTCTGCCCCTTCCTCTGTCCTCATTCCAAGTGTTTTTGAACTTTGCCTGCAATGCATTTTCAGTGCTTGCCAAGATATCCCCGGCTAAGGGTGAGCTAATGAGAACATCTGGCCAGGAATGAGTGATGATGCTCTGTGACCCACCCACTCAACACATCTGGTGGTAGTGGCCGTGGATGGGGAGCCTCCCTGAGTGTTAAGGCTTCTGCAAGGAAAGAGGATTTTGTAGCTGGATTTATTGGAAATACCCAAATCCGATTGGTTATATAAAGGGTCTTTCATGTGAGTGAGAGAAATGTCTCTAAGTAAGTGTACACAGCACACACACACACACACATGCCTGTACACTTTTTTATATAACTAGTGTATACTGTCAATGAGTAAGAATGTGGACTGCCTCAAAACTCTCTTTTGGATAATTAGTCCCAAAGGTCCTAAACTGGTTAACCATCAAGGCATACTGCGAAAGACCTCTCTCTGGTAAGGGTTTTCTGAAGGGGGTGAATGTACGTTCTCTCTAAAGGGAGGAGAGGATGAAAAGAGTTTATGTGCTTGGTTGGCAGAGTTTCTTTTTGAAACAATTATTTTAAAACTGCTGTTTTGTCGTTCTAATGATGAATTAAGGTGTCCAGACACTTTTGTGAGCATCTTTTTCTGTTATTTATGTATCAATCAATAAATACCAATGCTCTGCTCTTGTTTTCATTTGCTGGTGAAAAAAAAAAAGAAAAAAAAAAGAGATGAATTTTTCAGGCAGCGCAATGAATCATCAATGAAGTGAAAACACTGGGCAAATTCTCTTTTGTTTAAGAGAATGGCCTGTACACAGTTCAGGCCAGCGCATTTTTCATGGGATGCAAGGGAACAGTTCAAAGAATTGGCAAAGGAGTGGATCCTGCATATTCATGAGCCTGGGCAAGGAGGTGAAGGTACAGGAGAAGGCAGAAAAGCAATGTGAGGATAGAGTGGAATGTGGAGCGAGTTACCACGGTATCCTATTTTACTGCTGTTTGACGTAAAGCTCCTTTGCTTTTACACAACCGCTGGAATTGAATGGAAGCAACTCAGGGCATAAATAATGAATGTGTCTCTTACACATTAAGAGAGGAGAACCTGCACCTCATCACAGAGATAATGTGCCTCTCTCTTCTCTCCCCAGTCTCCAGCCTGCGTTCCTGAAGTCAGTCAAGATCTTATCCAACAGACAGAGGAGAAACTCGAAAACAGCCCCTGCAAAGAGCTATTTTCTCACTGTACAAAGTAAGTATAACTCGATACCCAAAGATCGCAGGGCTGCAGTCAGCAGCTTGTAAGGGATGTGGCAGGTAAAGACAGACATTTCAATTCGAACCTGAAGCAGGTCTCTTCGACTTAGGCGTATAATCCTAGAGGCAGAGCTGACAAGCGGTGAAGTCATTTCATCTGCACAAAATATAATAAATATTTCCATGCCATTATATACACTACACACAGGCACTTAGTGTTTCAGGTATTTGACAGAGTGTTCTAGCCAAGTAAACCAGCCATGGATTTCATGCTGTGTGAAAAGAGCTACAATGATAATGTATCCAAAGAAAACATCTCTGTTTCAAAGTGAATAAAAATTAAGTGGCTATACAGTCCATTTAGACAGAGGAATGTGCAAACTTGCTCCGCATGGCTTTTCCAGAAAATCTTCACCAGGAGAATGGGTCTTTTTTAATGCTTTCTGTCTGTCTGCAGCGTTCAAACGAACGTGCATTATTTCATCCTTTGTCTGGGAAAAGGCTTATCAGTTTTTGTAGCGGCGAGGCGATTTGTACCATTATGTGCTAAAGCTCCAGGTATGCAATCTGCATTTGCAAACCCTGAGCCGAGTGTGTTCACACCAGTAGATCATAAACCAATAAAAATATGAAAAGGAGGGATCATCACAAGCTGGCCCATGTGGTTTCTGGCTGAGCACGGTTTGTTTTCCCTGGGTGATGTAATGGGGATTTGTAAAATTCGCTCCGCTGTCATTCATTGTTTTGACTCACTTCATTGACCTTTTCTGTTTTCAGTTATTCTTTGCGTTGGTAGGAGATGTGGGTTATTTCTGGCCTTCTCTTATAACATAACCAGTTTCCTTGCATTGGCCTGGTGTCATGTAGAGATGCTCATATAACTCGCACCAGTTGTGTGTGCCAGTCCCAACGACAAAGGCAGAGCTGTGCTCAACACAAACTCCCCTGATGCCTGTTTCCAGTTCTCAAATCGGTTTGAAAGCTGACAGTTCCCCCTAAAATGGACTTTGTTGTTGCCAAAGAGGGGAACTAAAAAGCAAACAACTGTTGAAAGGCAGCTATTGTTCTTTAAAATACATGCAGCTTTTAATTAACTGAATGGAATAGGCCAGCATTGGACACCGTTTAATTCAGGCTCGTATTCACCGACAGCCATTCCTTCGTCTCTGCTGAAATGGATAAATGAGCCAGGTTTGAGACCTTGTTAATAAATATGCTGATCGTTTCACATGGACTGAAATGGGGTCAAAAGGAAGTTTTAAAAACTTGCTGTTGGTATTTACCAAATGTACTGAATAATGTTAATTTTGGAAGAGTTCACAGTCAGACCAAAAAAGGGAGGCATACATACAAATATGAAGCGTGCTATCCTGTAGGAGCAATGAGTTTCAGACACATCTTCATAGATAAGATCAGTCTGCGGTAGAAATTCATGTATAACTAACTTCTGCTCTGACCTTTAGTATTTTGATTGTCTGCTCCTGGCCCCTCCAATTTCTCCTAGAATTTTGGCCTTGAATTTGGATATTTGTTAAAGCTCATGAAGACTTACTTTTTATTTTGTAAGCTTTAATCCACTTGGGGGAAACTGTATGATCTGGGTCCAATCAAAGCTAACGAAGACAGCAACAATTTGGCTTTTATACTGAATATGTGCAATTTCCTGCCTGTTCCAAATTGATCATGCAAGAATTACCAAAACAAATCCAAATAGCTGAGAAATTCCAAAAACTTATGAATAGTAGCTCGTGAGCAGGGAGGAACTAACCTTAGGAGACTCACTATGGTGAATTGTTTGCTCGATCTGTAACTGCCCCAGGGTAAGGCATAGATTATCCATTCCCAGACCAGAGTAGTTCTTCAGAGAGGATTTCCTCCTCCAGCAAAATCTGGAAATGTGTCTGTATACTCTTAGATACAGACACAAAAGTGTCTGTGTACACCAAGGCAAAAAATAATCATTTCTTGTGGGCATTTTTCATCCAACACCAGGTTTTGTCCCTGCCAATGCTGCCAGCAGAGGTGGATGCAGTAGCCCCAATAAGCAAGGCAAGAACCAAAACCAGCCGGACAACAACCCTCTCATAAACAACATGACCACCTTCTTCTCAGGCAGCTCTCTCAGCTCAGCACATCTTTTCTCAGCTCTGAAGCCCTGGCCTTTCTTACAGGATGTCTGTTGCTCTCTGGTTGCTTGTTGCCTGTGACATACTTATTTCTCACATTTGCAAACTGGCCTTTTTATTCCTTTATTCCTTTGTTTATGGAAAAGACTTTTGCATCCACTGTGTAAGCTCCAAAATTCTTTTCTTGATCCAGAAACAAATCCACATGCCTGTTCAGACTTTCTTTCCTCTGTTTCACTCTACAAAGCACACAGCTCTTAGGAAAAGCCCTTTGACTTCAATCACAGTTACTACTTCTTCTGTATAGCAGGAATTGAAATCTTTATTTGGCACAAAATAACACCTCTGAGGGTCCCTCTTTGACAGAAATGGGCTTCAGCCAGAAAATTTCAATCCAGATGTAAACATCCCACAAAGTTTAGGAACCCAGTTCTTGAACGTGTTTTGTTAATTTACTAACAGAAGCAAAGGCATTTGTTGTCTAGTAAAAGTCTGTTGAAGCCAGTGTGAGACTCCCTGTTAATTTTCAGTAAGCATAACCAGTACATATTAGTCTTCATCTTTATATAAGGCCTCCTGTTATGAAATACATCAAGCATACCACTTTGTTCCTAGATTGAAACCATGGGTAAAATAAAGCACAAAATAACGTGGAAGTAAAATGATCCTACCATACAAGACGACTGGATTTTCTTCTCTTGCTTTGTTTCTCTTTTGCTCCAAGTTCAGGATTATAAAATGCTTATATATCCTTTTCATCTGAGATAGATCTGTCCTTGAGCACCTCAGCGGGGAACCATTCCAAGAATACCTAAACAGCATGTACTTTGACAGGTTTCTTCAGTGGAAATGGTTGGAAAGGTAAGTGTCACTTTTTTTTCTAATAACAAAATGAATACAAAAGGCTTATTGTCACTTTCCATGAAAAGCCTGTAGAATACACTCAAAATCTGACAGCTGAGGTAGAACACTTGCTCTCTTTGCCCTGAAGATAAAGACAGTTTGGCCTTTCTGCAGGGTCACCAATGCCTTATCCTGATGTTTGCCATTAGCGTCCCTCTCTGTGCAGCAATTCTCTCCCTCTTCTCACTGTTCTCTGCCAGGAAGATCCAGCAAGGCTCATTCACCCTTTTCCCTGAGCTGTACAACAGGGAAGCTCTCCCAGAGAGCTCCAGGGAAGCTTTCCTAATTTTAGCATTTGTTTTAAAATGTTCCTTGTTAGAAGATTCAAGAAGAGGTAATGGCTTCAGCCACAGCAAGATGCCCTATAGAAAAGTCCTGGTTATGTTGGCATCAGACTCAATTTAACTATGAGCTGAGTCTCCAGCTGTGACCATCCAGCGAGTGCAATTGGTGTCTGGGATATGGACAGTGCCCCTTCATCCTCCATGAGTGTGCTTACACCCATAAATTCTCCTCAGCTGCTCCCTTCTCTCTTTAAGGATATCGCACGCCTGAAGGTGACATGCTCTCAGCAAGCAGCCTGGGCACCTTTTTTGCACAGTATGCTTGTGCACGGTGAGTGAATAGGAAAAGCCTAAAAAAACCCAGGAATCCAAATCTCTTTTGATCTGTGGCCCCTCACCATGAGCTACTCACTGCTTGAAGGACAGATTGCATTTTGTTATAACCTACCTTTGTGCATTTGTAACGCTGAACGAAAGATATTCATTCTGTCTCCAGCTTTTGCATTTGCAAACACCTTGCCCGAGCAAGACTGAAGCAGATGCTGCTGTCTAGGGAGGTAAAGAATAAAACAGAAATCCACCCCAAAACACCAGGGAGCCGGTTTTGGCTTCCAAAGCTCAAGCTTTCAGCCATGTAATAGTGTGAGGTACATTAGGCACATTAGGTGTGATGTTGTCCTTCTGTTTAGCTACAGTCTGAATACAGTGACGTTTTGCCTGGATCAGTTATCGCCGTTATTAAATCACTGTAAACAGACAAAAATGCAGCATATATGTCTTTGTGCTATATTTATTGACGAGATGTTTCTGAGCACATTTAATTACGAGGCAGCCTTAGTGGGTTTTAACTTGCAGGGAAAGGGGCTTTTGCCTTCCCCTTGTTGGCGAAGGCTGTAGCAGACGTGCACTGCTGGGTAACAGTGACCTTGAGCTGAGCGAAGCCCCACTTTCCACAAATGGAATTAATTATGGCCAATGAGTTAGGGCCAGACCCACGAGCGGTGTGTATCAGCATGATGCCTCTGAGATCAAAGGAGCTGTGCCAGTTCCTCTCCCTGGAAAGCTACAAAGCTGCTGCACAAGAGGGAAGGGAAGCGGTGGGCAGAGAGCAGAGCTGTTTCGTGCCAAGACGTGCTCCACATGCCACCTTTACTGAATCCAGCATTTACTCTTCCATTTCAATTAGAAAAGAAATTAAAAATCAGATGATTCATCTCTAGCCAGGCTATTTCCTATCTATTTTCACATTTGGGATAAGAAATTTTCTGAAATGCTTTGAGGATTATTTTTTTTTCCATTCCCCCAACACATGTGACAAGCTCTTGGATATGCCTGGCTTAACAAGCTGGGAAAACTGGTTTTAGGATTAGCAAAAAGATGTTAGTAGCACAGAGCGATCAACAGCTCCTTCTGACAGCCTACTGGCTCCAGCGAAAGAGTCACATAGTCCATTTATTCCTGGGACATTGCTGAGCACGTAGTTATCACTGCTAATTGTTGCTTTTAACCCCAATAGCATTTGCAGTATCCTCACTGAGGCCTGAAAATAACATCTTTTCCTCTTCTAGTTTTGGCCTTCTGCGTATTTTTCTTCCCCAATTTAAAAAACAATAATGGACACAAATGTAACAATTCGCTTTAACATTTATTCCTTATTGTCATCAACCTCATCATCATTGTTGTGGGAACAGCCACATTATTGTGCTCCCTGTGCTGACTGGCTGCCCGCCAGAGGAAAACAAAGCTGGAAGGAATATTCAACTGCTAATATCATTGTAAAACTTTGGTGATGGGGTGGTGAATACGAAATCGGATCTCTTTGAATACCGAGTTCTTCTTCTGTCACGTTATAAAGCTTTTATGGTAACGACGTATAAACTAGATGTAGGGCTGGAGCTGTTCCGGTAGAGCAGGATTTTGTGAGAATCCTGAGATCGTTTAGTGAGCATGTCTAGAGATTGTTTGGGAGCACTCTGCCCTCAGAAACGGAGACCTACTGGACCATTAATTTGGCCTTCAAAAGGAAAGAGATGCTTTTCCTCCCTTCTTACACGTGATGCTCTCCCAGGAGGCAGGTACCCACCCGAAGGGCTGGGAGCCCAGTTGCCTGCTCTCCCCTCCTGCAAACAGCACCTAAACCCACCTCTGCTTCTCAGGATTGTTTCTTTCTTTGTTTCACATCAGTTTTCTGCTTTTCTTAAGGTCAAAACACCAGAAATATTTTCCAATGGAACAAATTTTTGAACCTCTTTTTCTTGAAGACCAAGCAAAGCAATTAAGTGTTAGCCCAGCACTACCCTTAAAAATTCCTATATATCGTGAGAATGAATATCTTGTTGGAAGCTCTCAGGCTTCCTCTTTGCTTAACAAAGGCCAAAGCTAAATAATGGAGATTCAGAACCCTCCTTGGTCCTAAGATGCTAGCAGAAATTATACTGATGACTCACTAATGTGTTGTATTTTATTACAGCTTAATATGTTGGAATTGAAAAGTTCAAGCCATACATAGTATTGAAGTAATGTAATTACATAATTATGTATTGTATTATATAATACAATTACCTTGGCATAATGTGATTATATAATATTTATCTATTTTGCTTTTCAAAAGTATGGTCTGAAATAAATAAATCACAGTGAGTGCATTAAATGTAGTGTGTCCTTTTTTATTATTATTATTTCCCTTTCTTCTAGGCAACCAGTAACGAAAAACACGTTTCGGCAGTACAGGGTACTGGGGAAAGGCGGCTTTGGGGAGGTGAGTAATTCTGAAAGTTTCTGTTAAGAGTGTTTCTTACTTCTCAGGCATTGCAGGTTACAGGAGCCTGATGCGACAGAGGCTGATTTTCATTAATTGCCAACAGTTTTACTTAACCTCTCATGACACCACAATCTCAGAAGAGCACTTCTGAAAATTATTTTGTATTCGACTGTTGCATTCATAGTGGAATTAGGGTCACACCCTTATTTATATTTTACTGATGGCTCGAGGTCGCTGCCTCAAGGCAGCAGAGCCAGAGGAGGTAGGGACAGGCTTTAGCTGAGCAGATTAGAATCTGCACAGACAAAAGGAGGTGGGATAGGAAGCAGGCGGAGGAAAGTGAAATAATTAAACCAATATTACCCAGCAGGTTTGGAAACAGAACTCTGTTCCCCAGCTGCCCCCGCCTATGCCTTATTTGCTACACGGCCGTCTCTAACCTTAAAAGGAATAATCAGATCAGATCGTGAGGAGCAAAGTGCAACCCAGACCCAGCGTTTGCTTCGATTTACCCAGCAATTGTTCTCTTTAATTCGCAGGTCTGTGCTTGCCAAGTCCGAGCGACAGGGAAGATGTACGCCTGCAAGAGATTAGAGAAGAAGAGAATAAAAAAGAGGAAAGGCGAATCCATGGCACTAAATGAAAAGCAGATTTTAGAAAAAGTCAATAGTCAGTTTGTAGTGAGTATTGAACTCCCTGGTGCTCAGCTCCCTGCTCAGCTGCTGAGCACTGTCCTTGTTGAATCTGATGTCTCTTCCAACTCCTGCTACAGGAAAGGTGCCAGAAGTTGACTCCCCTGGCTTTATGCCTCACTGCTGCTCCATGCACCTTTGCTGAGTCTTGCTTTAGTCTCTGGTCTTCGAGAAATCCACCAAGCAAGGTGCATGTTCCTACCATAGGAACGTGATGCATTTTACATCCTTGACTTGCATCAGGGCTACATCAAGCTGAGCTATTTTTATCCAGCATGATTACCTGAATTCCCAATGTCTGGAAGACAGGAGCTTGGAGGAGACTGAAGGAGATTCAACCCAAATAGAACAGAAGAGATTGGCAAGTAGGAGCACCTAGCCAGTCATGTGGAGCTGGTCTGCCTGATGTAGGGCTTTGCTGAGTCATGCCAGCTCTTGTGTCTCTTTAAAAACTTGCCTTAGGTTCTTGTTGGGTTTTTTTTTTAAAGGTGTTGCTTTCTCAGCATCTGTCATGTTCTTTATACCTATTTTAGGAAACACTGTGAATACAACAAATGCTAGATGCTTACTTACCTCTGGCAGAAGCAAAGATGGTGGCACGTATTTAAAAGTGACGGGTAGCTTTTGGCTTGTCTGATCATTCCTGAGGCACCCCCCGCAGCTTTGCAGGGGTGATGCTGACCTTTGTGCCTCAGTGATGGTCTATTTGACCTCCACAGGACTGGGCTATCTCGGCCTTCCTGGGAGCCTACCAAGATGATATTTTTTTTGACAGCTATCCAGCAAAACGGTGCAGCGGGAGGTGCAGATTCCCTTGATTATTAAGATCTCTTACATGGAAAAGTATGTCTAGAATTAGTATGTTTGTCCAGCCTATGAAGCTATATGAGCATTAACCTTGAGAGTTTCTGGTGGTGAACAGGCTGGATTCAACAAATTAATCTATAAAATCCTAACATCTGATTTTACTGTACTTTTAAAATGTACGCTTCCTATTGTAATCAGGCCCTTATCAAATCTAGCCAATGTATTTTTTTTCCTTTTCTAGAGAAAATCTTTAATGAAAAGTTAGTGCTTTCTCCTTAACAGCTAACTAAACTGTCACAACTATGCTACAAATGTTTTTCTAGGTCAATTTAGCCTATGCCTATGAAACAAAGGATGCACTGTGTTTAGTTCTGACCATAATGAATGGAGGTGACCTGAAGTTTCACATCTACAACATGGGAAACCCAGGCTTTGAGGAGGAAAGAGCTTTGTTTTATGCAGCAGAGATTCTTTGTGGCTTAGAAGACCTACATAGAGAAAATACTGTCTACAGGTAAGCACTCTCTACAGTCTTGTTATGTATTTCTATCTATTGCTACACATCTTTTCTGGGTAGAAGAGAATTGCCTGCATCCTCCCTACTCGCTGTGGTGCTGTACAGCTTAGACAATGCCTCAGTGCTTTGGCTGAAATTTCGCAGAGCCCTGTACGAATAGAGTATGATTCAGTAATCATGGAAGGAAACAGTTGCTTCACTAAATACATCCTGCCTAAATTACATAGAACTAGCACAAAGCTCCCCAAACTCTACCTCAGGGTGCACTGGGTGACATAAGAAAATTATGAAAGTTACTTTAAAGGGATTTCATTAAGGAATCTGGTTTCTCATGTATGAAATGGAGATCATTCAATTCACCCCCTATTTTAATTACTTAGGTTATGTGGCATTAGGGGCTGCAACACGTCAGAGGTGGAAAAAAAACGTCCCTTCTATCCCAGAGGCAGCGCGATGAGCGCAAGAGGGTGTTTGAGACTCAGAGCATGGATTTACCCTCCAGGACACAAGCTAGCTTGATGAGCTACTCGGGATCATGGCGATGGTGGCCGTGGTGTGCCAGCCGGGAAAAGAGGCGCATTCACAGCCGTGGAAGGAGGAGGCTCATTCATGGCCATGCAGCCAGGGTGTCCTGCTGGCAGCATCTCCGGGGGCAGCCAGCAGGCAGGGCGCAGTGACCGGCAGCCAGCTTCCAGAAGGACAAATTGCAAGATCTCCTCTTCCAGTCTGGCTTCCAGCTCTCTACAAGCACTTAACCAGGGCCTCATAGGGTTTACTCACTGGAGAAGCAGCATGATTGCAGACAGAGTTCTTGTCACTCCGTGAGATTATTTTTTTTTTTAATCAACAACCAATGTAGCTGTACAAAGCATTTAATGTTTGTCTTCGTCATCCCAGCTTGTGAAATCATTATTGCTGGCATTTACAGCAGAAGAGGTCCTGTAAATTGATGAAAGAACTTACAAGGACAATGATTAATAGACAATGATAGGTTCTTTTTAAAAACTAAGCCACACTTTAAATCATTTCATATGCCCATACACAATAAGCATTATGCATATGCTTGTATACATAGAAATTACAATATTGTTGTTCCTTGGAGGAGACCTCTAGAAAACTGCCACTTGGTTGCCTCACTGTGACTCAGATCTTGCTGGCTGGCGTAAGGAGGGCAGACAGATAACATGCTGATTTAGGTGGCACTGGCTCAAGAAAAGAGATACTTTTCCCAAGGAACAAAATGGATTTGTTTAATGTCAACTGAAAAATGAAATAATGAGTGACATGTCTGGCTTCCCTTTTCTTTAAAAAACATCCTACCACATTCAAAAAAGTTTTAGGAGGTATTAAAATATTTCCCTTAAAAGTACTAGATCACAGGCATTCTTTATTGATGGAAATGACTGGTGTATTCATAGCATGGCTGGTAAAATGTCACACTAGTGCTACTTTATAATAAAACAAATTAGATCTGGCCACCTAAAATAGTACATGGTTCTCAAAGTAATGGCATCCTACTTCCTTAAGCAGTTGTTTTCATGTTGCTCTTCAAAGAGCTGCTAGCTTACACCTCAGGTGGCACATTCATTTTGGCAATGAATGATATTACGTCCTTGTAGGTGGCATTTTCTAGCAGTATTTTAAGAGCATCTGCAGAGACTCCTAATTTGTAATACCGCAGCGTGTTTTGGGGCCCATGAGAAGTGCTATATAGGTCAATAAAATATAGCAGCTAAATGCTATCACTTTCTGAAGGTGCATAATTTATCACAAAACACTTATTTCTCAGACTTAATTTGATTTTCTATGAACAAAATGCTTCTGAGTAAATCGTAACATCAGAAAATACATCCCCATCTCACAGCCTGGTGACACGCGCTGTTGGCATGACCTGAGACAACAATCAGGCTCAGAGTCAGAGTTACCTGATTCAGGGTTCACTTGCCAAACATGGAATGTATGTTGCATTTCTTAACCGCATCACGTTAGTAAAGGGCAGCAGGTTGATTGTTCGAGGAAAGCAAACATAAAAAGCTGCTGGTTCTCCTCAAATTATTTATACATATTTATTTATTTTTATTTATCTATATATTACTTATATATACTATAGCTGTGTGTGGGAGCTCCCGTCAGCATCAACATCACGTTGTCCACACAAATACACAGTAAAGCCTTGTCCACCGTGATTAATTGAGTTGTTTATGCTGTCCTGTGCAGCCAAACAATGTGCCCTCACCTTTCTCGCCTGGGTGCTGTGCCAGCGGTTTATGTTTCAGTATCCTTAGGCAAGGCTAGTTTACCTACGGGAAGCTGTACCATTGGGACGGAGCTTTACATGTAACTGTGTCCACCGGGGAGTTTTATTTCTCCTAGACATTTCAATACAAGAATCACATCCCTCCTCGGCACTTGGAAGTGTTGGCCACATCAACACAAGGAAGCCAGGACCTTGACGAATCAGGAATCTGAAAACAGAAATAACAGCTGATGTCTGGAGTGAAGGAAAACCTGCTCTAATTGCCCAAAACCACAGAGGACTGTGAGGACTGACCTGCTATTCTCAGAGCCCTCGTGGACTCTCTCATTTTCTCGTTCAAAGAGAACGTTTCTCAACTTGCATACAAGATTCTTATCATGTGGCCGTAGTTACAGCTCTAAGTGGAACTAATAACTGCTGGAGCGGAAGATGAAGTAACTAATGAAGTCTGATTTCTTCAAGGAAGTAGTTCTTAAGGGATTCGGAATAAATTTAAAAAAAAAAATAGGAAATGCCTTCAGCTGTGTTGCTCCAGCGTTGGAGACCTTCTGCTGATATGCAGGGAAAGCCCATGGTGGTATGTTAAACAAAATCACAGCTTCTCCTCAGAATCTGGCTGCCCTTCACATATTTCAGTATTGTTTATTTGAAAAGTAGGCTTGGTACTACTGGGCACCCGGTGAAGTTTATCTTGAGAGGTCAGGAGGGTCTGAAGCAAGCAAGAAGAGGAGACTGTTGACAATGCTCTATGTTCTTGCTTGAAATAATTAAAAACGAAACAAGTTTTGAAATTTTAATCTCAGCATTGTCAAAACTGTAAAATACCCCTCTCTGTTCAGAGGAAAATTCACAACACAGGATTGGTACAGTGTAAAACGCAGGACAGGCTCCTGCACAGATTGTGCAATGCACTGACCTCCCAGCACGAGGGCTTCTCTTGCATGACCCCCTCTCTTTGCTCTTTGAAAAGAAATATGTCTTGCTGGGAAGCTAACAGAATCAAGCTGGTTCACAAATGCAAGGAGGCCTTTTTTTTTTTTTTTAAAAAAAAAAAAAAGACGAGGGCAAGCACTTCTTGGACTTGCACCAGACTAAATGCTGTGCTTCAGTAGGAGTCTCTCAGATAAAAGCCAAGGCACGGCGTTGTGAATTGCAGCAATACGTTCTTCCCGTACACACTGGTGCCTTATTCAGGCTCCAGCATATCCTGCTTATGTCCTATGGCTCTTCTGGGACGTTCTCTGCATGTCCCTCTCAGGAAGGAGCCTGCCTGGCTCCAGTCCCGTCCAGGAATGGCAGCTGCAGAGGTGCTGCAGGTGTGCCACTCCAGGTTTGGAAAACAGCCTTGGTCAAGCAAGAGGACTTGAGTGTGGTTGGCCTGGGCAGCATCTAGAAGCAGCAAGCGGTGGAGAGGGTTTGGTGGAGACAAGCCTTTCAGGAAAATGACCTGCCAAAGCTCTGCTAAATATATGAAAACTGAGATGTATTTTTTCAGAAGTTCATAACTTGGCCAGATTGGGGATTTTTTTTTTTTCCACGGGAGCAGTAAAAGGCACATCTTTGACATCAGAGTGACCACCTTGCCAATTTTCATGGCATTGCTCCAAACCACATAGGCACTAGATTTTCCCAAATGTTTGCAAGAAGACTGTTAATCCGGGCACAGCATCCCCCACTCTGCCCCTCATTTTCCAAACTTGTTGAAATTATTACACATGTGCACAAGTGCCTGTACACACATTCATACATTTGGTCTGAGTCAGATGCCAGGCACAGAAAACTGAAGCCCAACAGATTGCTATTTCCATTTTCATATGCAAATAAAACACTTTAAAATTCACAATATTTTTCTTTTTAACACAAGATAACAGAAAATGCTACAGAGATTTAACAACACACAGGACTATAGGGCTTGATTTACAGGGCTTACTGGACTAGATGGATGAGTCCATTATAGAGTGGATTAGAAACTAAAAGCTTGGCTTAGTGAAAAAATGTAACTCCAGTTTAGAAAAAGACATATGGTTTCAGTCTGTCTGAGAAGTGAGTTATAGAAAGTTGTATTTGTTTCATGAGCTCCTTGCTGTTTGAGTTGACACCCGGTTGGTTTACTACTAGTAATAAATGCACTTACACACTGTCCTATGTGTGTTATCAAAACCATCTTCATACAAATAAGTGCTATCTTTCATTTTCAGAGATTTGAAGCCAGAGAATATCCTGCTAGATGATTATGGTAAGTCTCAGAGGTTTACAGAGTTGCTTTCACAGTAAAGTAGGTTAAGTTAGTTTTAGGATATATATTGCACAAAGACAAATAATGCTCTGAAGTGACAAAGAAGCTCAGCATACACTAATACTCCTGTCTTGGGGTGGGTGAGGTGCTGGAGCTCCCAACATGGGTGGAACGAAGCTGCCGTGCTGCTTAACAGGGTCTGTTCTCAAGAGCACAGCCTTCCTGCGGGTGACTGTGCTTTGGTTCATTATTTTTCCATCCTTACCATTGCAAGGCTGATGCATCACATAGGAAGTTGGGATTTCTAAATCTGTGCTTCCCGCTCTGCTTTCAAAAGTACTTTCATCCTTTGCTGAGCCACCTCTCTTTTTTTTGCAAAACCAGGTACGCGTTTGTTGCTGAAGGCAGGGATAATCAAATCTTGTGCTGACTTTTAGACCAGATGTGGTCCCTTCAGCTGTCAGAGAGTTACAGAATTGTGTCAGCCCATCCATCCCCTGGATCAGTTCAAGATGCTTTCCTACAGCATGCTCCCCATTGCCTTTTTTTGACTTTAAAATATCTTAACACCATCCACTCTAGTCCGTAGTCTCACATTTAAAATTAATTTCACTGCTTTGTAATGCCCTTAATAATTCCTCTTTCCTTTATCAGTGAAACTGCTCCAATTCAGTGATTCAGAACACTCTTTTCTTGAAGTGTCTGAACAGTAAATTGCAAGAGTATCATAGCAATGACAACAGTTATGGTTCTGGACTAATTTGGGTCATATCTTTATATCTGTTTTGTGTTGTTTCGTTTCTTTTTCCCTTCCAGGCCATATTAGAATATCTGATTTGGGTCTAGCTGTTAAAATCCCTGAGGGTGAATCAATCCGTGGAAGAGTAGGAACAGTAGGGTACATGGGTAAGTCTTCAGCAGCTTATCTTTTTTATGATTTGCCGAGATTACTTGAGGTTTGGAAATCTTTTTGCCGTGTAAGCTTAAGGAAAAGAATAAAATAAAGTTCACATTCAGCTGGGTCCAGTTCCTTGCAGCAACCCACTAAGAAGTTGTGCTAGCGGAAGTCAAAAGTGGGCAAAGAGATGGATCACAGCAGCTCTCAGTGAGACTGGTCTATAATCCTAAATCGACAAAGAAAATTAAAACAAGACAACTGGGATGCTAGTGACTTTAGCGTAGATTTATTTTAGGAAGGAAATGTGCATAAAGGGAAGTTTTCTTTCTAGGTGCTATTTGGTTTAATAGTTAAAATGTATTTGTATGTTTATGATAAAATGGGTAGGTCAACACCCATGGTCATCTTGACTAAGATCATCTTGAGTCCTCCCCTATGTGCAAGGGAGACTGCACAAGAAGAGTGGAGTTTTGTGGACTGGTAAAAAACACACTCCCTGATTTAACTCAGTCTGTTTTCTAACTTCAGTGTAATTATTTTCACGCATTCTCTAGGTGGGCATTTTTCCTGGAATAAAATTTGCTTATGCTTATTTGACTAAATAGAAACTAGCTGATATGAGCCACTGTTACACCATATGGAGAATTTAATGAAAGCAAGCGAATCAGTTGTATTTTTAAACTTTGTTACCTCAGTGTAAGTTTGTGTGCACACTAAGACTGTGCTTGTTAGCACACATTTGTGTGTTTGTACCCATGTATGGAAGTGCGGATGCCTGCAAGACAATGACTATATGCCCAAAGCACACTGGGTGGTTGCAGCATGAAATAAATGGATTTTGGTTTTTTTAAGGGGAAGAAAGAAAAAGTTATAAATTGCAATAAAAGCAAAAAGACAGAATTTGCTTTTGAAGAAATGTCACTGCTGTTTACAGGATGTGTGCTTGTATGTCATTTCTTCCCTAAATGGAGAAATCTGGAAGGACTCTTAAGATTAGGCCTCTGCTTAATACTTAGCTTCAACTTCCTATTGTTTCTTTAATTGGTCTGACTTGGTAGCGAAGTCAGCAGGCACATGGCAAGTAGCATGTATCATGTAGAGAAAAATTATGTGATGTAGCGTGCTGTATTTTCTGTAATGCCATCAACAGAAGTCAGGAGGTATTTTTGCATTTTACCTACCATTCTCTGTGTCTGTGTGTTCTGTCACCAAAATGGAACTTCTAGAAATCAGAATAATTTTTTACCTATGTAGATGTCAAGCATTTCCACAAGATCCATCTTTCTCCTCCACAGCTCCAGAAGTGTTGAACAACCAGAGATACACACTCAGCCCTGACTACTGGGGGCTAGGCTGTCTCATTTATGAAATGATTGCTGGGCAATCACCATTTCGTGGAAGGAAGGAGAAGGTGAAGAGGGAAGAAGTGGACAGAAGAGTGCTGGAGACTGAAGAGGTGTATTCCCATAAGTTTTCTGAGGAGGCCAAGTCCATCTGTAAAATGGTAAGAGGCTTGAAGGCCCAGTGTGGCAGCTTCATTAGGCTGTATCGGGCACGGTTTGAGGAATAACATTGCCACAGAGAGGCTGCAGAGACAAGGACTAACCAAGTTCATCTGTTGATGGGATGATTGCACTCTCTATTCATTTGAATTGTGTTTATTTGGGCTTGCTTCTCCATGAGATTCATCACGGTCATCTTGGGTCCTCTCCAAAGCTTTATGGCCAAGGGAGCGGTATCTACCCTCGTGAGACTCTGAATGTTAGTTTGCAGTCAAGAATGCATTTCTGTCTTTTATAATCTTTTAGAAAAAAAATAAAAAAGACTTGATGATGCAAGACTCTGATTGTCTCCTGCAAGGAACTGAAAACCCCATGCTTCCATTGTCTTTGGTGAGAGCTGGGGGTAAGCAGGACAAAGATTATGCAATGAAATTATTGTGACACTCAAATGTTGTCCCACCCCATCTCCCTAACTTTGTTAGCAGCTTTTCCCCCAGGGTGCCAGGGTATCCAGCTTTTTTTAATACTGTTGAGCTGTCCTTTAAAATGTTTTCTCACTCTTTCAGCTGGGAGTCATTTTCGTAGCACAATGGCCATGTCTGACAATGGAAATCCTCAAACCCTCTGAGAAATCTGGAAGCTGTGTCTGAATTCATCAGTGTCTTGTCGACATCCATCTTTAGAAGGCTGAATTGTAATTTGCAAAGGGATGTGGCCTTTTTCTTGATGTTGTTTGCTAAAGGGTGAAGTCTCCTTTGGAGACAATGACATATCTGTGTATACTGGTAGAGGGACAATGAAGGGAAAGAAAGGTCAGCAAATAGGTAGTGAGAGTTTCACCAATATCTTGTGCAACAGGCAAGCAAACAGCAGATCAACAACATTCTGGTTGGCTCACTTCATGAAGAGACATTGAAGTCTCCTTGCAAAATAATAATGGTAGTATTGCCAAGTATCATGCCTGGAAATCTTTAACTCACAATGCACCAACTCATTGCTGAGTCCCAGGGGCAGTAATTAACTGACATCACTCTTGATAAATACTCTTGGCCATTCATTGCCCTTAAGCTGCAAATCAGAGCCCCCAGTGAAGGCAGCGTGGAAGGATCTAGGATGGCCACAAGCTCTTACAGACCATTTCATGTGCACAAATAACCTGCCACCTCATCTCTAGTAGCATCTCGACTCCCACCAACTGAGGAGCAGTCTGCTGGAGCAGCAGAGAATTTGTGTATGGCCTGTTGTTAGCATGAAATGAAAATGTCCCGGGTCAAAAAATACATTCTTCTTGCTTGTTCTGTAGTTAGTTGCAGGCATGAAGCATAAAGGAATGAAAGTATACTTTGAAAAAAAACCAACAACCCAAGACCATGAGAACTTAAAGCTGAGAAGAATTAAATGTAGCCTTGATGAGATAGCACTGGAGATGACCTCCCACTCCCAGGGGAATAGACAGTGAAAGTCATTATTCTGCAGTGGTCATTTTCATCTTCGAGCCATAAAGTCTATGGTTTCAGGGAGTCAGGGACCTCAGGAAGTCGTATAATGCATTCTCTTGCCATGGGGTACCATGAACTATGTGTAAATCATTCTTGACAACTCGATCATTACTCCTACAGTGTCCAATCATGTGGCATGTTTGTTTAGGTGGTTTGTGCAAACTCTTAATGGATCCAAAGATAACTCTGACATTTCTGAGCATTAATGCATTAAAATTACTGTGCCTTAAGGCTGGAAGAGCCTTACTTGTGACACTGAGCATGATGGCATTTGTGGCTTTTGATTGCAAAGTCATTTATTTTATCAAGTGATTTTTTTTTAAAAAAATGATTCAAATATGTTTTCTTGAATACTTTTTGATCCTTATATTGAAAACCAGAACTTTGTTGCTTTGTGTCAGCATCGTAACAAGTAAACAGAACAGTGATAATTAAGAACCCGTCGCACTTGCAAAACAAACCAAAGCTGCAGTATGTAAAGCCAACCTGAGCCATCACAAAGAACCAATGCAACAGGCTTTCCTGCACAGGCCTCTTCAGGGTAGGAGTGAAGAATAACTTTTTCCACCATGTCTCCTAACCTCTTCAAGGCTTACTCCATGAGCTAATAGCGTCTCCATCAGGAAATATATCGTCTTTATTAGTTTACTCATGTGAAAACCCTTTAGTGTCACTCCATGTCAACCTTCTCCTCCTGGATGTTTATGCCCTTTGCATTTTTGCAGGCACATATCATAGCTCCCATTAATCATCATCCATCCCGTATTTCCATGTTTCATTTTGTAAGTCATTTCCCATAAATCAGCCCTCATTTTGGACTGAAGCGGAGATGAATGACAAATAATTAGGAACAGGGGCAGCTGGCTTTCTGGGAAGCTCCCCAACCCATAGTTCCCATATAACATAACTGCTTCATGGTGTGCTTTTCTGTGAAAAAACCCAATCTTTCTAGGAAATGCACCCTGTTGTTGTTGTTATGGCTTGTACTTCATTGATGAACATGCATGTTTTCCCTGACAAGTGCAGTCTTGCATCCAAAGATGTGACCTGAAGTACATGCAGGACAACCAAGTGATCAGGCCCAGTCAGCATGGGTTTATGAAGGGCAGGTCCTGTTTAATAAACCTGATCTCCTTCTATGACAGGCTGACATGCTTGTTGGATGAAGGAAAGGCTGTGGATGTCATCTACCTTGACTTTAGTAAGGCATTTGACACCATTGCTCACACCCTTCTCCTAGAGAAATTGACTGCTCTTGGCTTGGATGAGCACACGCTTTGCTGGGTGAAAAACTGGTTGGATGGCTGAGTCCAAAGAGTTGTGGTCAACGGAGTTAAATCCAGTTGGCGGCTGGTCACAAGTAGTATCCCCTTATCGCTCTCTACAACTACTTGAAAGGAGGCTGTAGCGATGCAGAGGTTGGTCTGTTCTCCCCAGTGGTGAGTGATAGGACAAGGGGGAATGGCCTTAAGTTGCACCAGGGGAGGTTCAGGTTGGATACTAGGAAGAATTTTTTTACTGAGATTGTTGTCAGGCCTTGGCACAGCCTGCCCAGGGAGGGGGTTGAGTTGCACTCTCTAGAGGTGTTTAAGAGGCAGGTGGATGGACTGATGTGCTGAGGGACATGGTTTAGTGATGTTACTAGGGCTAGGACAAAGGTTGGACTCGATGATCTTGAAGGTCTCTTCCAACTGAAACTCTTCTATGATTTTATGATTCTGATGGGCACAAACCAAAACACAGGAGGGTCCCTCTGAACATCACGAAACACTTTCCCATGGTGAGTGTAGTCAGATACTGGAGCAGGCTGTGGAGTCTCCACACTTGGAGATATCCGAAAACCAACTGGACGCGGCCTTGAACAACCTGCTCTAGGTGACTGCTTTGAACAGAGGGATTGAGATAGATGATCTCCAGAGGTATCTCCCAGCCTCAGCTGTCCTGTGATTTTGATCTCCATTCCCTTCCTAAAGGACTTTCCCAACCAACTAAAAGATGATGGATTGTTTCTGCCCTAAAAGCAATTTTTTTCTAAGTTTTTTCTCTTCCTCACTCACCACCAGAGACTCTGTCATCATACTGCTGCTACTCCTGCTTGCTTTCATCCCTCCTCTCTGCCTTCATCCCTGGAAAACAACTTGTTCACACATTACAACACCTTAAAGTTTATCAGCGCTGCCTGAGAATAACTACTCTATCATCTATCTTGAGAGGCACCTCACACACATCAAGGTGCTCTTCAAATTATTATCATTGCCATTCATAATAATAATAATAATAATAATAATAA